GAGAGAGCTTCCTGTCCGCTCGGACCGACTGACTGACCAACCGAGAGAGCTTCCTGTCCGCTCGGACCGACTGACTGACCAACCGAGAGAGCTTCCTGTCCGCGCGGACCGACTGACTGACCGAGAGCCCTGCCTGTCCGCTCGGACTGACCGACTGACCGAGAGAGGAGTTTTAAAGGACTGACCTGAGTAAGTGTGGGCGGAGGTAGGCACGTATACCACGGGCACCGTCTGGGTTCGAGCCAGCATGAGGCTGTACACTGCGCAGACAGAGACACGTGGTCAGCAGGGTGGGGGGGCGGTGTCCCAGCCGCGGTCCGGCAGCGGCCCAGGCGCTCTCACCTAGGTAGAGCCCGGCGGTGAGGGCCAGCACGGCGAACACGCTGAAGAGCAGCAGGTACTGGGAGCCCAGCAGCGTCGGGGCAGGCCTGCTGTCCTCACAGGGGGGCGGCTGGCTGCCTGTAACAGCACAGGACGTCAGCGCCGGTACGGGCAGGAGAGCTGCCCCCCGCTCGGGCGACACTGCTCACACTGACAGGAACCAGACGACACAAGCAGAAACTACACAAAGGGTGGTGGGAGTCTGGAACAGTTCCAACCACGGGGTGGGAGCCGATACCTTCTTTCCGGGAACGGCTGTGTGTGACCCTTGGGTCAACTCCGTGCCCACAACCCCAGAGCCGGGCGTACGCTGACCTGCTTCGGGCTCGATCGCGATGACGACCGACTGCGTCTGCTCCGTCATGGTGCTGCTCAGCGTCAGCTTGTGTGTGGCCTCCTGCTGGAGCAGCCCCAGGGTCGCGGGGTACACAGACACGACGAGCAGCGCCGGTTCTTCTGCAGAGCGGACAGGATCAGACAGCAGCACCTCCGGGTGGTCCGACTGGATCTGGACATGCAGTAAAGACAGGAGAGCAAAGCAAGTGGGCGGTGCCGCCCCTTCTCCTGCCCCCCTGCTCCCCCCCACCCTCAGCGCCGCCTCACCCTCAGCGAGTCCAGCGCTGCGTCGGTGCCCACCACGCGGAGCTCTGTGACCGGCTGGCTGGGGCTCAGGCTCAGCCGGCTCTGGTTGCAGTAGAAAGCGGGCAGGAAGGGCAACACACCGTGCCCCCCTCTCTCTCGCCCTTGCTCGGCAGCGGCCCCCCGCAGGGCAGCGGAGAGGGAGACGGAGAGCGGGGCTGAGGCCAGGGCTCGCCTCGCGGCCTGCGAGTGCAGCTGCACCGCCACCACGCAGCTGTACTGCCCTGCAGGAGAGAGGGGCACAGGACGTGTGGACCCCTGCTGTGCTCCATCTGACCCTGGACAGCAGCAGCCCTTCTCCCTGTGGAGGGCGTCGTTATTCCTAGAATCTACCTTGAATTGCTTCACCGTCACTACCTGCAACAACTCCAATACATTTTGGGAAACCAAGCAGAATCACTTTGCTTTTGAAGTTTTAAAGAGACATTCAGCCAAACAGCACTGTCTTGAGAAGGCCCATAGTACCCTAGCACACCCGCCAGAGCCCTCACCGGAGTCGGCGCTGTAGTGCGGAGTGGCGGTGAAGACGGACTGCAGCGTGCTCTGCAGACAGGTGGCGCTGTAGTGGAGGGAGCACACCAGCTCTG